CTTTGAAGATTAGAAGAACTCTCAATAAAATTTGAATTCATATCAAAGATAAAACCAAAAATGAACTTCGTTATAAGTATCTATTGTGTTTCTATGGGATTTTTAATCTTATGTCAAAGGTAAGAAAAATCTTATCATTCTGTAGAAATTATATCGGTCGAAGTGCAATAATTGTTCTGTGTCAAAGACGTGTTTCTTTGTGTTGTACAAAAGTCGTAATGTATTGTAAAACTGTCAATATAATATATAACTACCTCTCAAAGTTAAGCAAGGTTTATTTTGTTGGTAAATGACATTGTCCTGACTATATTTTTGCGAATTGAAATATCAGCTTTAAAAAAGTATAGGTATTCCAACGATGATTTTATGAAGTTTAAACGTACATTAGAAATGGACACTCTGCCCGTGCACCAAGAAATTACAAATGAAACTAGCAATGATTTAGACTCTCTGAGAAAACAACAATCAAATTGATGATGTGTGCCAAGGTTATATTTGGCAAAGTTAAATTTGAAACTATCATCCTACATTCGTTTCAGAAACAGGAATTTTGTGACTAAGCCAGTAATATTGTCCACAGTTCACCGTCGAAATATGAGCCTTCAAATCTACGTGTGTCCAGAATTATCCGCGTTTGAAAGTTAAAATGACAACTCGTCCTCGTCTTCCTTGAGACTCCGCCATATACAGAAAAGACATACAAGTATATAGAAATAGAAATTGAAATTTCTAATTCGAGGTATAACTGAGGGGATTATGCGATTTTCGTGCAGTTCTAGTACTTCTGAAGACCCTTTACAAATATTCAAGACCCAAATCAACCCTAATTCACGTGAAATAATATCTTAAATTTTATTCACCTAAAGTAACAGTGACATAGTGGAGTCAAAACTTCATTGCTCGAATAAGGGACAGAAAAGTGGGTCGATTGACACCACATTTTCGGTCGTGTCCGATTAATAATGAATTGATTACATAAATCGACGAAATATATCGGTCACGATTGTACCTGAAGACCTATTCTACGGTAGACCATTAATAGACAAGAATTGTCAATAAGCGGTTAATTGTCCTTGATAAATTAATATATCATTTGGAAAATTGTTATGTTTGATCTGCCATTGGCCATGGAGACTTGTGTATTGTGTGGGAGACATAGATAGATCAATTAATAAATCTGGTTTGGTAGAAAAATCAGAAAAGAAAGATAAATGACCGAAATATTATCAAATCTGAATCAAAAATCGAAATCGACCTACAGCGACAAATTTAAGTCAACTGACAAAAGACAATAATGCGCGGGTCCATGCCATTATAAATGTAGCGTTTCTATGAAAGTGAGAGGCCACAGAATAATTGTCAAGGAAGTCTGACGGGCACCGAGCATTTAAGCACTCGATGATCTGAAAATTGAGAAGGGACATACCATGAGATCTGAATGTTAATAATATGCAGCAGTTTTCGCATGACGTCTGAGATAAGAAGCACGACTGAATTTCAGTTAGTGGCGTTATCCTATGTGTGTTAAATGTACGAAATTCACACAATTCCTTCAAAAATATTTCATACAAGGAATTTCTTTTCTTATTTCTATAGATGTCTTTAATATATATACCAGTGTCTCAAAAAAGGCGACTCGTCTTTGTAACTTTGCAACGCGGATAACTCTGGATACGCGTGGATATGAAGGTCAAAAATTCACGGGTGAGCTGTGATCACTTTTACTAATTGACACAACTAATAGAATTCCCGTTTCTGAGACAATAGTTGATTGGTTAATTTAGATGGTTATAAAATAAGTTATTAAATAAATTAGTAATTTGGCTTGTATTTGTGCATCCAAGAATAACGCAGTAATTGAAATAACCTAAATTCCATGTATGTGGTTTTATACCTTCCAGAGAACAATGAACAAGATCAATCAATGTGGAATCTGTCATTTTAGTTTTCAAAATCCACTAATCGTTACGTACAGAATCGTCAAATCATGAAGTGTCAAATCGTAATTATATTTTCACGAACAAAATTGGAAATAAATGCGCGTCAGCATCATGTTTATATTTACGTTTTCAAGACAATCTAAATGTTTTACAATAAAACCACTTTGTACAACTTTATTCATTATAACACAACGATTGCGCGGAGTAATAATAGCCAGTTCATCATTATAATGTCATATTCTCACGTCAAATCGTCATTATGATCGTTACAGGCCAAATCGTCAGTCTAAAGTCAATATATCTTCACAAGCCAAATCGTCATTATGATGTCATGTCTTCACATGCCAAATCGTCATTATGATGTCATCATATCTTCACAAGCCAAATAGTCATTATGATGTCATATCTCACATCATGATATTTCTATGAGCCAATTCGTCATTATAACGCCATTTTTATATAATCTCACGTGAAAGCGTCGTTAGATTTTTGTTTGACTTAAGTAATGATATTTTCTTTATTTAACTAATATCAATATATGGATTTGTCAAGGTCGAAACATTGTCAGTATTTTTCATGTTTTCATTAATTTTTCTTCATTATCAGGAAATTCCATTGTACTTAAGATCAAGTGTGAGATCAAAAAACGGATTAAAAGAAACATTATAATCGACGAGCAAGTTATCACCTTTATTTAAGATCTCTTAACGGACTTGTTATTTGTGTTGAGAACAATGTCGACTTAGTAATAAATCTATTTCTATAAAATCTTGTTAATAATACTTGGTTCTTGAGTTTTATTGAGCGTGATTTAAAGGAACACGACCTGCTATCAAATGTTTTCATAATATCATATTTTAACAATAATTGAATCGATCAGTGACAGTTAATAAAATTGAATTTCTATTGAATGCTATGGAAATGAAATGAAATGAATGGAGTTTTACGTCCTACTTTTCTGCAATATGTGTACTGATGAAGACGGTTGAATGCCGTGGAGTCCAAGACCGTATCTAAAATCAAGTTAAAACGAGGCACAGGGGGTATGGGTGGAGTTTCGAAACTGAGACACTTGCCTCATTTGCCGCTCTTGCCTCCATTACGCAACCGCCTTGAATTTGAATCCCAAACTATACGGAAAAAACCCCACATATTTCCAGATGAATTTATTTTCTTTTGGAATACTTCTGTTCTGCTTTTCAGTGTGATGAACAGTGCTGGTAATATGACAGAAAGAGCATTATTTGAGTACCTATTAGATAAAGATAGATATGATTTCACTGTTCGACCAAACGCTGGTACAGGTATCGTTATTTTTAAATTTACAATTCTACGTACATCATCAAGCACCCACTCATATTTTTGTTTATACCAGAAAATATTACACCTCTGTATCATACTATTCGGACGATATCCGTTCTTGCAGCTAGCAATTAGTGTGTGTCCACTGTCCAAACTCGACCTGACCGTAGCAAGGGGCTCAATTAGTACCATCCGCCTTTCAACCAATGTTGATGATACAAGCACGCGAAAAAGTGTTTTATTGTTCGGAGGAATAATGCGTCAAGTAGCTCCGTCAACAGGAATGAATTGTTGCGGGGGCTCAGAAAATTTGATGAAAACTCGATCATTTCTGACCATTTTGAGCTGCCAAGAACATATCAAAATCTATATCTGTTTGATTTTGTACAAAGACACTGTGAATTAATCAATCTCTGCTGAACTGAAGATATTTTGCTCGGACTTCATTCTCACTTGCTGGGGCACAGCCCCCACGGACCCCACCCTAACGACGGTGATGGCGTCAAAGTGCATACAACCCCAATTCATTTCATTGTCAACAAGAAGAGTTCACTTATTTCGTTTTAGCACTACTACGTCTACCGCATCCTTCCAGAACATCCGATACCACTCTTTTTCATATCAACATCTCTTCTATTCGATAACACTAATTTTAATATGTTAACTACCTCAAATACCGGTTCAGATTTTCAATTGATATTTTTTGTAGGTAACAGTACACGAATTGAAGTTGATTTAGTGTTGAATTCAATCGGACCTGTTAATGATATGGATATGGTTGGTAAATTAATTTCTTTATTACTTTAAAGGCATAGTCACATTTACCAAAAAAAAAAAAAAAAAAAAATCTGAAAGTTATTCATATTATTTTTTGTCATTACAATACTTTAATACTCAAAAATATGATTTTTTTTTTTCAAGCATTACGAAGCACATTGAAAATAGAGGGACACAGCTTGATAACGCCTAGTAACTACATACGCCCAAAAAATAACAACAAAGGCATTATTTTTAATATAATATACGTGTAAAATGTATTCAGCGATAAAATCCAACTTATGTTAATTGAATACAACAGTCTTCATTGTGTTAAGACTGTTGATTTACCATGCATGAAACAATTCATTGAAAGAGGACCACAAACCAGCATGATAAACGCCTAGCTACAATTAACACCCCAAAAATAGATAACATAATAACATAATATGTCCTATTTTCACCAATAAATAATGCATTAACTGAGGGATATAACTGATATTGATATAATTGAATATTAATGTTATTACTTCCTAAACATTCAATTATAGTAAGCTTAATAGTTTCACATCACGTAATGTTCCAGATTCCGAATATAAAGTTCATTTCCTACAATTTCTCAACTTACCAAGAAATTTGGTACGCTTGATTGGAAGCCAAGGTCCACAAGAGCGACCTTACGACTGGCAGAAACTTGAGATCATCTGTTTTACAACGACCCTGATAAATCTGGGAAAAAATATTGTTTGAGTTTCTTAGTACCTGGCATAGTTCTGTCAAATTGTCGCGTTTCTACGGACATGGGCTCCCTACGCTCCTGCGGAAATGGGAACGTCTCGGTTTAATTCTCATCATTAAGTTCTTGTTGATAGTTGACATAACATTTGCGTAGATGATCTAATATACAGTGGTGGAAAAGCCATTCCACGTTAATATGAGTCCTTATTCAGGATATAACCAAGTCTTCTTATTTAAGATTTTCTTCTGCAGGAATTGAGTGCCAGTTTTTATCTAAGGCAGCAATGGCGAGATCCGAGACTAGTTCATAATTCATTTAATCGCAGCTTAGTAGTGAGTCATACACATATAGAGAAAATGTGGGTTCCAGATACGTTTTTCCCACAAGCCAAATCAGAGTACAGACATCTTCTAACTACACCCAATGTTTTGATGCGAATGGAACCTGATGGGTCTCTGTTGTACAGTCAGAGGTAAGTCAGCTTTATCTGAATCGGGAGAAATTTTGTAATTTTTGAAGGGTACTGATGCGTTTTGTAGTCTAGCATAAAATTTTGACAATTTTTGTAATAATAATTTTAGGCGTTCTATTAAATCAGGCTATGTTCTCGACATGAAACAGATTTGAAGGGGAACTCTTAGAGAAAATCACAAAATTATAAGGATTTATAGGAGAAAGGGTGGTAAAGAAATCGATCAAGGTTTCTGAAAGGGGTAATAGAAAGGTTGAAAGCCGCTGATCTTGGGTATAGTGCGTATTGAACTGATCGTCCAACTGGTCCACATCTGGTGGATCTGTGGAAATCGATGTCACTTGTAGCCCCCAAAAAATCGCCGTTGAAACCTTAACTAAAGGTAGCTTGGACTGTGGTGAACGGTAACAGTTAGTTATTCCAGAAGAACAAAATGATATCGCCCCTATTTCAAATAGTGTTAAAACCAAATCTGACAAGTATTTCTGCAACCACAGAAGAAATGAAAATGAAAAGAATGTTTTACATCTTACTTTTCTACACCATGTGGGCTAATGAAGACGGGTAACGCCATGCAGGGTGCAATGAGGACAGTGGCATTAGCCTGCTCTTTTTCGATTTCCAATTGTCGAGCGATCTTTTAACGTGAAAAGACTAGTTGCAACCACAGAAGAGGGAATTACTGAAATAGGCGATATGTTAACAAATACATACAGATACAAAGACTAAAAAACGTGTTCTTAATTCAAATAATTGCAACAACAATTTCCAGCAGTGATTGAAAAGAAACATTCTGTAACCTTTGAAGATACAAAATTAATGAAGATTTCACGAAAACCTTAAACCAGTTTTTTGTCAATTATTATTCAATTATTCGTGTTGATCTTTTTGTGTTGCCAGATTAATTGCTTTATCGATTTCTATTTGAGAACAAAATTTCCATTAACATTTTTATAAAGGTTCAATTCTTTAAACACTGGCGTATACAGGGGAAAGCTGAAAGTTCATATACATAGAATTGTACTTAAATTCCTAGAAAGTTCGTTTAATTGTTTGAATCCGCAAAGGCAACTTTTGGAATAATTTCAGTGGATTGAGAATGTCTCAAGTAGCACACAGAAAATAAACGAAACAAAATATCGGAGTACTCTAATCAAATTGATGATTGTTTTGAACGGTTATAATGACATATCTGTCGAGAATGCCTTAAAGTGCTTTTAATTATTAACACTTTAATACCCTTAGTTCTTCTAAATTAATTACAAAAAACACGCGTTGGTTTAAACAAAAAAATATACAAGGTTCGAATACCTACTTTACATACCTGATGGAATTCCTTTAATGTGGTTTTTACTTTATTTGTTTTAAATTAATTACATAAAGCTCACGCGTTAGTTTGAACAAAAGTTATACAAGGTGCAAAAGCCAACTTGATGAAATTGTTTTAAATTGTTTTTAACTTTATCTGTTTTGAATGAATTAATTACCAAAAGCTCACACTGGTTTAAACAAAAAATATACAAAGTGTGAATATCTACTTGACATATCTGATGAGATTGCTTTAAAACTTTTTTTTTAAATTAATTACAAATAGCACACGATGGTTTGAAAACAAATTAACAATAACCCTAACCCTTGTAAACAAGTGTTGAAGGTCGATAGACTTTTAATTAAAATTTCTAAAATTGAAATAACAAACTCAGTATATGAATTTGTATCTATCAAAAAATCAACTTTAAATGATGTCTATGCATAAGATATGAATTCCTTCACTAACAGTATATTTTTTACAACCACAATGTGATTTATACATTGGCATTTTGCAATAACTAAATGTAGAAAAAACTAAAACGATAATTGCCAACTTTTCGTAATTTTTATATCTGATCTATGTGAACGCTCGCATATATAGTCATATATAGTCATATTTCTTTGAATTACGGCACCAGAAAAACCAAACGTGTTCCTTGATTGATAGTTTCTGGAAGGCATAATACAGTTGATAAAGAAAAGTAATAATTTCCGTTAGATGTATAATAAAACTATTGATTACAGGTTTGTTTATCTGATATTTTGACAATGAAATTGTCTGGAAGGGAAAATGGTATCTGACATTGTATTGTATAGAGGTCAATAAGCTTATAACAGTAAAATGATAATTCCTATATGAAATATTATAAACAATTACCTCATTAACACAAACTGATAATTACTATGAAATATAAAAGTGCCCTCACTCAATAGCGATTACATCGTTTTCTATCTTTACAGGTTATCTGTAACATTACAATGCAAGATGGATTTACACAAATTTCCTTTGGATGAGCAAAGCTGTGCTATACAGATGGAAAGTTGTAAGTCTTGAACAGTCATTATTCTATTTCGAAGTTTTTTCGTCATCAACTCTTACAAAAAAATGTCTAAGTACCAATGAAGGAAAGGAAAGTTCGTCGATTAATGCTTTATATTAATTGGTTTTCAGCTTGTAGTGCTCGTAGTGATAGTTGTTTTCTGAGTTGTGTCCCATTAACGCATGTTTGATTGTCGTAATATCGCTCTATACCATGGCAACTAGGGTTGTTCTGTGTCATGTAGAGTTTTCTTAAATTTTTCAGACAGCTATGTGGCATCAGATGTATATTTTACTTGGTCTCCAGAAAGAGGAAGCCTGAATGTCCTAGAAAATGCCTTCATTCCAGACTTCTCCATAATAGGAAGTTCTTCTGAAGATTGTACAGCAAAATATGCGACAGGTTCGTCAACATATTTTACATGGATAACAACTTAGTTCACAGTTAAAGATCATTTCTACCAACTGTTCATTGACCAAAACTCTTGGTATTGATCTTTCCCGGATTATCCCTACACCTTTACAGCTGGGTCGGCTGAAACAACTTAGATTCACAGTTAAGGATCCTCTCTATCAGCTAGTCCTTGGTCAAACCTCTTGGTATTGATCTTTCCCGGATTATCCCTACCCATTTACAGCTGGGTCGGCTGGAAAAACTTAGATTCACAGTTAAGGATCCTTTCTACCAGTCCTTGGCCAAACCTCTTGGTATTGATCTTTCCCGGATAATCCCTACCCATTTACAGCTGGGTCGGCTGGAACAACTTAGATTCACAGTTAAGGATCCTTTCTACCAGTCTTTGGCCAAACCTCTTGGTATTGATCTTTCCCGGATAATCCCTACCCATTTACAGCTGGGTCGGCTGGAACAACTTAGGTTCACAGTTAAGGATCCTTTCTACCAGCTGGTCGACTGGAACTATGAGTGAAGATGACTTATTCAAGGTCATGGGATGTAACCCAATTTAACATGAGTTAATCAGAGTCTACGCTTCTCTTCATTCAACAGCTCTCGATTTTTAGTACAGAAGCGGTGCATTTTTTTTCCAAAGTTCTGTCAAAAATCCAAACAATGTATTCTTATTTTTTTTTTATCACAATTTTATATATTTTCGTCAATTCAGGTACATTTACATGTTTGAAAGCGTCAATAGAACTTAAAAGAGAAATTGGATTTTATATCACCCAAACCTACGTCCCAAGTATATTGATAGTAATATTGTCATGGGCATCCTTCTGGATAGATCACGAAGCAGTTCCAGCACGTATATCAGTAGGACTGCTAACCGTTCTGACCATAACCACCCAGAGTTCTGGAGCCAGATCGCAGCTTCCTCGGGTACCTTATATTAAAAGTATAGACGTTTGGATGGCGGTGTGCTTAGTGTTTGTGTTTGGTGCTTATATGGAATACGCCGTAGTCACTGTTTTAAGTCGAAGACACAGGAAAACAATAGCACGGGTAAGTCGGATTTTTTTTTAACGCCAAGACTCTTGGGATGCAGGTGTTTCAGTTTGAAGTGGGCTTCAATATAACTTGGTATGTTTATGTTTAATTCTGAAAAATTGGATAAGCTTGATGTTCACATTTTTATTCTAAAACGGTTTAGTTATGGCCCTTGATTTGGCATAAATAGTGCATGCTTAAAATTTCTAATCATAAAACAACTTTCTCGTCTAGAATAATTGCAGTCGAACTTGAAGCAGTTTCGCAATCGAAAGAACACTTAAGAAACCATAAATGTATTCATCTCTTGTATATTATAGAGTAATACAGTGGTCAAGTTATGTGAAATAGTAATGAAAGAAAATGGATTTGGAAATGGCAATGGGGTTCCAAATGGAGGACCCAACGGCGAATCTTCTTCAGACAAATCAAAAGAGGTGGACAATGAGAGACGTAATGCTGGAAGGATCGTGGATAAGAGATCCCGTTACATCTTCCCGGTGGCATTCTTATTATTCAATCTCTGTTACTGGATCTTCTACATATATGGTCCGAAAAAATAGACAATTTTCTGGTAGGTTGTGGAATTATGGATATTCGAGTGATTCAGTGATTGAAGTCTGAATTTGTGGAGGAAGCGTTGTGACCTCATTCATTCCATTGTACTAATGATTTTGCTAACAAGTCCTTGCTTCAAGATTTCACTATGGATTCTGGATCATCTCGAGCTGTAGGTCATGGTATAATTGTATACCACAAAGAAAGAAGATTGTGTCCCAGCTTCATAAAAACAGGACTTGTGACTTTCCAGTTATTGTTGTGTAATGATCCATGTACATGCTTTCGTTCATCTAACTGTTGCATTTATTTTTGTATTGAAAGAGAATATATATTTAAAAAAAAAACTTTTCTTTTTATTTCAATCACTGCCTGAAGTTGCGGAATAACTGAGCTGCACACTAATTATTAATCCCATGGCACCATTTTATGGTTTTGCCATGTAAGTACATTATTGAGAAAAATACTTGTTGAAACATGACGAGAAAAAAACTGCAAATAACATAGCTTTAAACAAATGGTCCACCACCAAAGTTCTGCTCGCGTTCTGCAACATAGAATCGGTTGTATGGAATGTGCTGATGGTTTCCGAACAAGTCTAAAATGGGTCTCTTTTCAAACTCTCTTCTACCATGGCATTAAATTTATTAGAGCTTATTTCTGATATATTTCTGTATTATTTCAAAAATATTTTACTCGTTCATCATTCTCTTGCGACCAACAAGGCATGTATGATCTGGTTGTCAGATGTCGATGTTGTCATCAAGGGTATATGAGAAATAAATTAATACACGTTAAAAAAATACCGATATATATTGATATAGATTCCACAGGCTACAATCATACTAACAGCATAATAAATTCACCGATAAACTGTTATCATGTCATTAATATACTACGATAACCATCCAATTATCCAATTGACTTTAAACATCAGAATAGTGATCTCTATCCTTTCCTCTTGGCATTCCAATCTTTCTATGCCAATGATACCCGAACAACTTTGCCATTAGCACAAGGCTTCCATTAACAAATTACAAGTTGGATCATTATTTTTCATCAAACGCAATTAATCAGTTGATAACACTGAAAGGGGGGCATTCTTCATTATACGCCTTCACATATTTTTTCAATAACTTGCAACACCTTTCAAATATAACGCCATGAATATGAAAAAATTGATTGGATATGCAGAAGGTACCTGGTATCTTTGACCGTCGGTTTTCTATTCTGAAAGTGTAGGGTGAAACCAATATTAAAAACAAATCAATAAAGTTTCCAATCTTACTTTCTGCACCATATAGCGCACATGAAAAATTGACCACATGATGTAATTTGCTATAAGGCAAATTTCACCAAAATTCTATTTGTACTGGGGTCTCTGAGGATCACACAAAGCTTCTACTAAGAGCTTAAAAAGACAGGTAGGTATTTTTTTTTATTTTGGCCAATAATATTTTAATCTCAGAAACTGGAATTTTTTAGCTAAGCCAATCAGTAATAGTGTTTATAACTCACCGTCGAAATTTTAGCCTTAAAATCCATTTATGTCCAGAATTATCTACGTTTGAATGTTAAAATGACGACTCGTCATTTTAAGATACTCTGTAGTATATAGAATAGACATACATGTTTATGTGATTTTCGTACATTTCTGTAGACATACATAACTGTACATAAATTCAACACTAAAATCAACCCTTCAAAGTGGCCTACCTGTCCCTTTAATAAAAGGAGTTTTTTGAATTGTTTGAAGATAAACAACTCTGAAATTCAGATTATCACAATGTTAAAGTCAAGTGTTACGTCTGTTAAAGTCATCCTGTAGTTATCCAGGACTTTACCGTAAGTAAGATTAATTTCTTTACAAATTTGAACCCACACAATGATCGTTTTAAATTAGGCAAGTTCCTGGTGACAAAGACATAATTAACAGTGGGATATAGTCGGCTAATTTGTAACAATGAGGCATATTAGAGATGAATTGTTCGTGTTATTACACAATATTAGTTGGGAAACCGAGTAAACACTAAAACATCGATGTAACCTTTATGCTAGCACAAATACTAATGAAAGTAATGATATAAACCAGATGCAGTTAAATCCGAAAGCTGGTTAGTTTCTGTATTGTGTGCATGTCTGTATACCACTCATTTTAAAGAGTGTGTGGTAGTCCATATGGACTGGTTGAAATAATTCCACAGGAATTAAGCAAGACAACAAAACATTAGATTTCAAAAAGGGGCACAACTCTTAAAATAAGAGTACAACGAGACCGTAGTATTTTCAACTTAAAGGGACATAATTACTACAAAAAGCAGGTGCTACAATCACAAAACCTATTAAAGTAAGATACATAGCGTGAGACTGAGTAATAACACGTTTTCTTAATGTTCTGTTTTAATATCTTGATATTCCTCTACAATTGATCTATTGAGCACCATTTTAACAGTGAAAATAGTTTATTATTGTACTATTAAATTAAAACTCCATTCATTTCATTTTATTTGTACTTTTAAAGGGAAGTAACTGCTAAAGAAGACAATACATTTTAATTTAACGAGTTGCAAAACTATGGAGAATCTTGCTGGTAAACAAGGAGACTAGTGGATGGACTTCGACATAAAGTCAAAATAGTGTTGTAGTTGGATGGGACAACAAACGCCTGGTAACTCCCTAACCAAAACGCTTGCTTTGTTAATTATGTTACATAAGAAAGAATCTATCAATTATTTTTCACACTAATCAAAATATCAATATCTATCATAGCATATCGCTGTTGGTATATCAAATTAGCAGATGTAGTGTATTATAAATTTCTATACTATTCCCTGTGGATTAATGGTAAATGTAACCCGGTGGAACTATGTCCACGAGATTACGTCATCCTCCAAAGCAAACAATTAGTATTATAACCGTTGTTTGGCTTGTACTTGTACTTAGGGATAGACATCTAAAAATAACCTATCACAAAATACCGAGTGGGAATATTTATTATTTATATGAGGAAATGTCATTTTGATCTAATATATTTCTGCCGGGACTAATTCATTCATTCCTTAATATATTCCGTTCCCAGTAAAAAAGCGTGCAGATATCAGGGTTTCCGGATTATCGGTTCCACTCTATCTGTTCTTTAACCCTCTGATTGTAAGAAACCAACCTTAAATTGGAGATTACATTTACATGCCTTACAATAACGTCATCCATTAACGGTCATGATGATTTCTCTTCTTGTACCATGGCCAGTACTTTCGATTGTTCTTTCAGTAACCATATTACTATATCATTTGTCAGTCATACAAGCGGAAGTGACGTTCTTTTTTATTTGATTTCATTAAATACATATATGTGCGCAATACAACGTTTCGCGGTAACCAGCACCTCTCGGTACTGTTGGTGGTATCGAAACTTAACATTGAGTTGCTTGTGGCGTGGAATTGTGTAATTAAGCGACAGCTTCTCTTTAAAGAGATGCATGGATTATATTGATTTGGCTTATTATGGAAAGGTTATCTGATCATGGTAGTCTCTAGGAGACTGGAACTATACCGGAATAAAAGTCTGGACATGAAGTTTTATATCACAGTCCTAATGTTTGTAAGTTGATGTTAACAATGTGTTTTCTCTCGAGATGGATATCATAATGTCACAGGATATGTGTATATTATAGATTAGTCATTGAGTCGTCGGTGAGTACAGTTTATCTCTAATTTTTTGTCAACTCTCATTGTCTGGGACCGGTACCACTACTTGGAATTTTTTTTTTAAATATAAGTATGTCATTGGTTGAAATTTAATTTTGATTTAATTATTGACCAATCATATTAAAAAAAACATTCAATTTAAAGTTAAGCCTTCGTGGTTATGTTTTCGATCAGACTATAAAATGATTCATTTCATATCCATTGGCCTTCAACCAAACTTGGTTTCTGAATTTGTGACAGTTGACTCTTTTGAAGGAAATGGCTCGCCTAATGCTATGACGTTGTCTCTGCTCTGAATAACGTTCTTGCTTTTCCACGTCTTGAGGTTATGTAATGTGAACCAACTGAAATTTCACCAGGCAGTGATGTAAATTAGAACCGAAATGGAGTTGTTTATGGAAGTTGTATGCTCCCTTTTAGACAAATGAAGAATGGCAATGACAGGGCCGTAAAAACATCAAAGCAAATGAGGCAAATACCGCATTTTAAAAAATTGAATATATAAATATAATATCCGCGAACCATATCGTTTATTGATGTAACGAAAGCGTTGCGATGAAAAACCTAAAGGACGTTTTTGCCTCATACAAATTGGTCCCTATTCACGGCCTTGCATGAGAGAAATTATGCCAGGCGAGCCGCATCAATCTAGCCTACTCATTTTGATTCCCAACTATCGAAGAATCTGTTACAGTAGTTTACTGTCTCACCCGAACGACTATTCGCATTGTCTATGCCCAACTCTGAGGATGTCAATTAATCCCATAAAAT